TAACGTGTCGTTGTCGGGTTCGCTAGCCCGTACAAGAAGTAGAAGATGATATTATATTGGTATCATCTTTGTTTTATTTCTGGAAAATTCAGGATCATTCATAGGAGCAGAAGAGGAAGAGGTGGATGTGGAAGATGATGAGGTAGGGTGAAAGTTTGAGGAGTAAGATGGAGTAATAGTAAGTGAATAAGAATAGATGGATTAATATGTGCGAGTTGTTTGGTGATTATCGGGGAAAGGAGGGGAAGGAGGGGAAGGAGGGGTAGCTGATTTTAATTTCTTGAACGGTGTTTTGGAAGCGAGAAGCAATATTAGATCTTAATGATTTGATGAAGGTAGTAACCTCTTCCAATGAAGAAAAGAACCAGTAATTGAATTGAGGATGATAAAACAGTCATGTGATAGAGAATGTCTATATCGATCGTTGGTTAGTTTAAGTCTTGTATCTTCTTCTCGCACTATAATATTCACCAATTGATCTACCCTTTGCTGCCACTCACGGCGTTGTATTCATGATATGTTACGTTGGAGAGCGTTTTGAGAGGAGTTTTCATTGTTATTGTGATTGTTATAGTTGGAGATAGCGTCCTCACTATATTTGGTAATATAAATCTTCAATTACCAAAATATCTCGGAAAAAAAGAGAACAGCACATTGGTTGAGATTGTTATTAATTACACAACTAACCCGTAACGATGCAGGTATAACAATATCCAACAGCGAGAATAAAATTTGCCATACGCATGTATAATTACCAGGATCCTATCAACCTGTGAAATGATATTTGGTTTGCCCATTTCCTAATTTCTGGCCGAGAATCTTGGTTAGACGGAACAATAAAAACAACATCCATAATACATTCGTTACTCTTGAGCAAAGGTCGTTCTCCATGTCGCGGTCAACCTGCAAATTTTTCTTGTCGCCGATACGTTCTATGTAAAGTAACGGCAGCAGCTAATATTTGACTACTCATCTGTTGCCACATAGACCGAGCGTGCCTTAGACATTGAAAGTGGGAGGCAACAAAGCAAAGCAGGAAAATCTGCTGAACGCCAAGCGACACGTGAACTAGTCCCCCCGACGTCTTGCACTGGATGCACTGAATATAGCACGTCAAGCATACTCCAATTTCTTCTTTTCCGTTATGGCCCAGACTCAGGACCAACGCACGCGATGTTTAAACCGAGTTTCGAATGATTTTATAAGGCAAATTCTCGGGCTTAAATCTATAGAGGAGGGAAATTAGTAAAAGTTCAAATATCCAAGACAAATTCATTACAAACTCGATGCAAGTATTACCGTGTCGTACGACGTGATGGTCACTCCAATGTCATTGCCATGGAGTAAGCAAAGTGTCCTGACGTCCGAAGAAATTTATTCAGTCGACAAACTCATCCTCTGTACTTTCACGTTTTTGCCGGAATTATTCATCGAAACCACCAAAGTTACATTTGTATACGATCGTCTTTTCCCCAATCCAGCTTCGCTTGCACGCAACATTGCCAAGGTTATAATGTCATCCGCTGATTCATAAACTTGAGTGTGAGTAATTCGCTGTTGGTTTTGCGCGCATAATCAGCAAACGAGGCTCTCATCATTGGTCCATGACATTAACTTGCCGTTCAATAAAATGTGCGAGAAAACTGTACTGTAACAGTCACCATGATGCTCACGTTCCCTTGCTCGTAAAACAATTATCCGTGCTGACGGATATTCATTTATCGTAAAACAATTAGCCGTACTGATTGATATTCATTTTTTCGTGACCCTTCTTTTCCAATAGAAATGGAGTTTACTGTGAGAGCCGCCCACAAATTTGAATCCTCAAACAATTTTCTTTAACCATTTTCGATGGCGAATCCAATAACGATGTGGGGTCTAAGGTAGAGGATGGTGCGTGCGTTTGGGCTTGGAATAAAGACGTGCTTCCTGTCAGAGCGATTGATATTGACTAAACAATGTTGCTTGATGATGAGGCTCCCAACTGTTGCGAATTATGTACATAACGTCTTCGAGCATAATTCGGAGAGAATACAATCTGTTAATTGAAGTATCCACTGATAAACTGAGCCATGTTAATAGAATTTCACGCATCACCCGGCCGAACTAACGATACCTGTTGGCGTTGTTCTGTTATCTGCGATTGCCGACGCAATAACTCTTGGAGAGACGGCTCGTTACGTGGTGTAGTTCAATGCAGGGTTCTATACGATTGATATATCGGAGGATACTTTGAAATAGTACTTCTACTAAATCAGTCGTTAAGGGCTGTGCCACGAGCTGATCCTGATCATACGATATTTGCCACAATCTCTGATAGCATTACGTCCTTGGTGAAGTGGATGCGATGTTTGTACACAACTATTTGCTGAAGGAGTGTGAACAACAGGGCCTAAAACTTGGTTGCTCTAATGGCTTCTCCTGCCTGTTGTGCTTTCTAATAACGTTGAGTATATAAAATAGATGAAGCCATCTGCAGTAGAATTGATAAACATGCAAAGCTTATAAATCGGTTTCTCTGGTAAATCGGCACTTTAATTTCAAGGTATTAAACAATAGTATGGTTAGTTTACTGTCGATGGAGCTATTATAACCCATCGTAAACGTGCATCAAATAAGACAACATACCACCATCACTGAACTTTCATCCTCCAACATCGGCCCCTATTCCTCCGATGCCCAAGCTTCTTGGCTGATGATTTAGATCGCATAACAGCATGCGGTCTCTTGCAGCGATTCATCAAATACATGCATCACATCCTGGAAAACGTCTGTCGAACGTTCCGTTCGGTCGGTCATACCATTGTAGATGGCATTGTCGGCACAGATTTCATGAAAAATCTCCATCGATGTTACTCTTTATCACAATGAGTTTTTATGGCTAAAACTCATAGCCATGTCACCTATTAAGTTGTTGGACGGGGACGCGACTACTGTTAGCAAACCAGACAACGACACGTTAAATGTAGTTAGTACGCACACAATACGCATCAATCGCATCGTTCGTAGAAAGCCGGCAAAAGTCTTACTTATAAACGGGAAAATTAGTTCTTTAAAGCGTAGCGACTTCAAGATGCTACAATAAACAAATCGGATTAGCAAGCAAATATAATCACGCCCGTAAATACAATATCCATTCAATCACCAACGTTTTCGAAAACTGGTCAAGTGGTTCGTCGAGACAGACCCGATCGGTTTAGGAACGTCTTTGAAGACTATGCAGACTGCGGCGGCATTATTTGATGAGTAGATAGAATTATATTACAGTAAGCATTGCATTGCTCTAGTGTTAGCTAGAATGTTTGAAAACCGCTTTTGAAATTGCTGAATTGCATGACATGAGGAGGATTACGTCATAAATGTTGGTACCCCGTATGAAATCTGATCATCACAATAATTAATTTTTCGAATGCTTATTTTATTTACGCCTCACTTACTCACTGTATTTAACTTAAAATATGATTTGGTCTGCTCGACGACATTCCAGTTGTCGATCACTCGAAATTATTGAAGAAGAAGATATCAAACAAAACACTCAAATTATTGATTCTGTTTATGCCTTTGCGACGTAACACATCAGCCTTCGCTCACGTCCTAGTTTGTTAAAAAAAAGATTATGAAAGCAGCCAGGAAGTTATTAACAAATCGCAAATTTATCACCCATTGTCAACTTTGTAAACTTTTTTTTAGATAATTACAACAATTGTGTTTTGAAGCATATCAAGAGCAATCCCGCAACGTTTTGTTGAATATTGTTCAACAAAGACATGTGACTTTCAGTTAGAGTATATTGAAATCTCAGCAGAAACGCGTATTATCCTACTGATCACTCGTGTGTCAGTATCATTTGATGTACCACATAAGTCAC